TGCTGAATTTCTTGCACTGCAGAGGCACAGATCTGCCAGGACTCAAGAGGGAGGATGTACCCTGGCGTCAGACGTACCGCCAATGAGCATGATACAGATGGAAAAGATCTTCTCAGCATCAGTGTTGGCACAAACATTGCCAAAGCCCACACTGGTCAGGCTGCTGAGGGTAAAGTAGAGGGCAGCGATGTAGGAGCTGTGCAGTGATGGGCCACCCAGAGTGCTGTTGATGTAGGGCGTGTCCTGACGTTTGCCCAGTTCGTGGAGCCACCCTTGAATGAGGAGGTAGAGCTTGAGAGAAGAACAATGTCCAAAGGCTGAAGTTCATGTTATCTCTATCTCTGTGTGTCTTCTGTAAGCTAGGAGCTGGATGGTACTACAATGCCTGGTCTAAGTGTATGTTTTGGATCTGTGTTTGAGTGTGTCAGAAAGAGATCGTCAGCCGTGTCAGGAGGAGACTATACTGTATGTGGCTGTTAAGCCGCAGCATCAAACTTGTCACTTTTGTAGTCATTGTGGTGAAATGAAAAACCTAAACATATTTATATTTGCTCTGATGCAGGAAGTTGTGTAATTAATAAGAGAAGTGCTCAAATATTACTCAGATAGTTTATCAAGTATAAAAGCCTGTGAGATTTGGGTTACTGGTTTCTATGTTGACTGATTTTCAAACAGTGACAAGACATTTGTGTGCTGTTTGCTTTCTGTTATATCAGCTTTTGTTCTGGTTTCAGACAGTCCTCATTAGAGCCCCAGAGCAAGATGTCTACCACCACCACGCCACTGAGCAGAACCAGATGTTCCTGCAGGTGAGCTGTGACTATTTATAGCTGAGTGGGGACAAAACAAACTTAGCCTGGACTTATCGTAGCAGAATAAGGTCTGAATTGTCAGCACTGAGTCTAAACTATGGAACGAGTAATGTCATGAAATATTAGATTTCAGTTACTGACAGAAGTTACAGTAAAAAAAATGAATATATGATGGCACACGGTGAAAATCAGTTACTATACGACAGCTTCCACTTCAGTAAGGCCACAGTCAGACTCACCAATGTTCCAGGTCCGATCAGACTCCATGTCACTGCGTCCAATCATGTACCAGATGCAGGCCATCCAGTGTGCCAGTAGGGCGAACACAGACATGAGTAAGGTCAGGACTACAGCGGTGTACTGGGAGTAACGATCCAGCTTCTGAAGCAGCCGCAGGAGGCGCAGCAGGCGTATTGTCTTTAGCAGGTGAACATAGGAGGTCTGGGGTGGATAGGGGGCAGCAGGATGAAGAAAGAGAAAGAAAGGCAGAAAAGGAGAGAGAGGAGGTGGAGTAGGAGAAAAGTAGGTTGTTCAGATTGTGCAAACGAAAACCTAAATCTGCCAAGTTCAAATCTAAAAACATGCTGAGTGTGTACATACTGTATATACCCAGCGGAATATCACAGCCCGGGCAAGCTGTGAGTTGCTTTGTTCAAACAAATGCGCTTATCTTGTGTATGAATCACTACTAAGGGACTGTTTATCACATAAACCTGCAGTAGCTATATACTGTATGAAGGTGCTTTATATCCAAAGGAAACACACTTTAGGGGAAATTCATATGCATTATGAAAAATCTGCAAATAACTGTTAATGTCAGCAATCGTGGAGCACAGTAGTACTCACCACTGGGATGTTGAGGGCATACAACAGGTCAAAGGGCAGAACAGCCACTAGATCCACAACAAACCAGGTGGTGGCGTAGTGAATGCAGATGCTACGCGGCTCATACACCACCTGACCTGATTTGTTCACATAGGTGGTTCGGAAGTTTAGGACAATGTCTGAAAACATAACGATTAAAGGTCAGGTTTTTTTCCACCAGAAACTAAAAGTCATCACCATTTTCCTTTGAGTGCTCATATGAGGTTGTTTCAATTTTTTATATACAATCTATCGATAATACAGTACACAACTTCAAAAAGAAAAATATGACCAACAACAGCTTACAATAAACAAAGTCTTAGTAGTAACCAAGTAAATGAACTTGCAGCATCAAGCAATAAATAGATAGATAGATAAATACATAAATAAATAAGTAAAAATTGTTCATCTATAGCATTGGTGGTGGTCTCCCTATTCGTGCCAATTTGAGACCCCCAGTCATCTGACATGATCTCCAAATTAGACCAGTCTTCATGTGTAATAACATGAGCATGTCGAGTTTCAGCCACATCAAATGAGCCCCTCGGCGCCTCCCTTTGGAGGTTAACCAAACATTATCCACCGGGCGGAGTCCCTGGGAGAGACCCAAAGCATCCTGAAGGGAAGATATGGCATGTCAACACATAAAAATACCTTCAAAGTACCACTAATTGTTATAATTTATCTGACTAAACACAACCCCCCAAATTTGTGATTTTGCTGGGTGACAATTAAAACACTGTTTTTGAGCCACTGCTCAAAAACTTCTTATAAAAATCAGAAAGGTACGTCTTCCTCAGTAACTTCAGTGCACTCACCTACAATAAAGAGCATTTCCACTACAACATCGCTGATGAAGGTGAAGCGTGCTGCTGTGATGGTGTGATCATACGGCATGAAGCTGACGCTGTAGGGCACGGTGACAGCCACATAGAAGGTCGCCACAAGAATGAGCCAGTCCCACAGTGCTTTGGATGAACTGTAGTGAAGCAAAATGAAGCGTGACTTCTGTACTGTTTCTACCTTGTACTCTGGTACCGTAGGCTTGTCAATTATGTTCTGTAAGAGGACAGGCAGAGAAAGTGTAGAAGGGCAAAAACATCTTTAAATTGTTCTGTTGAAATGGTCAATAAAAGCAAAAACTAACAATACTAAATGACACAACAGCTAGGGTCAGGGAGGGGGAAACTTATTATCAACACTGATCCCATTCATGACTTGACCTTGGTTTAACTTCATCCCTCCGAATGCCATTAATGCTTTAATTCTCAGGTGGTAAAGTAAAATGGCAGCTGAGCTACTATATGAAAATGAGGGCACCTCGAACATTGACCATTCACTGCTGGTTTTTGAAAGTTATGCTTATTCATTCAACTCATTTCAGTTTTTACTGAGAAAATGCTATTGTGGAAATTAGGAATCGCTATTGCTGATGAGCTGGGGAATCCATTCGCCATGTAATGAGACTGCAGCTCTCCTAGGAGGGCCATGCACTTGGCATATAATAGCCTTAACCATGTTTAGGAGACAGGAAGAGATTACCTTTGACAGTGGGGAGAAGGAAAGAGAAAGTAGAGATAGATGAGCAGTATGCCATGTAAGAACACTGTGGCCATTTCACAGACAGGTGAGGCCAGAAATAATGAGGCTGGTTAATGAAGTCCTAATGTGAGACTGTCTAAACCTGTCTGGTTGACTCTGAGGAAATTGATTGACTCTGTGGTATTTGGAAGTAATTGGGAGAAAATGATCCACTTTTTATTGTACTTCAAAAAAACAAACAAAAAAACAGAGAACAATGATACACTCCAGTGTGCAAATGCAGAAAAGGAAAAATTGTTAAAATTGTTTGTAGTGAAATAATTGTCAGTACATTTACACAAGAAGTAAAAATCTTCAAACTGTTCTGAGTAAAGCAACTGTCACAACTGTACAGAATAAGGCTGCCTGACACCAGTTAACGCCTGATCAAAACATACAGTCTTATCACGGTATATTTGGAAGATGAAAATCTAAAAGAAAGACCCTGTTTACTGTCAACAACAGCTGTGGGTACTAATTATAGCTCAAGTAATTTCAGCAAAAGTGGGACTGAATTTTTTAAAATTTGCCTTACATTACAGAGGTCGGGACGCCCACCTGACCTTTGCCCCTCGAGGCGGCCAGCTGAGCACATCCCCATGATTAGAGAAGAAAAGCTCAGCGCTGCAGGGACAGATGGGACTACATGTCACACAGCTACAGCTAGTCTTTGCATTTCATTAACTCATGCTGCAGCTCAAGGCTTACTTTTCCACCTACATCTCCAGCATGCTCTGGGCTTTAGAACCATAAAAGCCTGCCCTTGATAGGGAAGCAGATAAACGTAGCCTATCATGGGAGTCAGTACAACAACTGTTACAGAACCAGGCATTATGAACTCTGTAAAACAAGACTCCAATGAAATACCATCTTTGAGTTACACAGTTCTTATTATGTGATTGTAAGATCACTACACTTAACTGGATTAACTTACACTTAACTGGATTAGTATTCTGCTACATGTTGCATTGCAACAAGAGAGTAAAGACACGCATTGATTATCTGAAAGCATGTTTGTGAAAAACAAAAGCTGATAAGAAAAAAAGATGAACTGAGGGAAAGTACTGTAAGACGTGAGTTCAGGTCACAAACCACAGATCTATACAATCTATGACACAAACTGTGAAGGTTTTGCATTATAACCTAAAATGCCTCAAGACTGCACTATTTTTCTTTTTCATAGCTCCTTGACAAGTGCATTAAAGTGAAAAGAAGCAACAGGGGCTCTCCCCTGGGACACGGGGCAGCTTGAAATCAAGTCTGAGCTGCTTGTCAGTGTGTCTTGAATTGGTTACAATTGCTGATATATTCATTGGCTGACAGCATCAAAACTGGCTGAACAGACAACTGAGTCAGAATGCACATGCTTTTAGTAAGGAGTCTTGAGTCTGAAACTACACAAAGTGCTGCCGAAATGTGTAACTCCTGAAGTCAGCAGAAGGTTAGCAGATTTTCTTTTGTAAATTATATCACTATACCTTATTGATACTTAATTGCCACCTCTGTAACCCTGTTTTTATGGCTGCGCTCCGATTCACAGGTCTAGCTGTGTGTCTATGTGTTTTCCAGCAAAAAGAATAGGGATCTAGTCAGAGCAGGCTGTGGTGTGGAGGCAGAGGACCACATTGTTAGCTAACTGCTAAAAATGGAGGGGCGACAGGCAGAGAAGAAGGAAAAAAGAATGGGAAAGTGATAGAGTGGGAGTATGGCAGTAGTAGAAGTAGTGATGTCGACGAAAACAGTACAATCAAAGTTTTAAAAGTAAAAAATGGCCAGTGTTACAACTGTTCCAATATATTATTTGCTGGATGTGTTATCGTGTAAAAAGCATGTTTAATGGGGGACAGTCACCACCCTAAAATTACTGGCCACTCCATTTTATGCATGATTTTGAGATACAACTATTGATATGGTTTTCCTGTTTCCTAATCAATGCTCACTGATAAGCTTGATGCATGTGTCGAACTACATAAAGATATAAATGTTGTAGAGGGAAAGCCCATGCATACAAACAAGCAAACACTAACATGTGTAATCGCAAGTGTTATTGCTTTGAATCTCATTTTCATGCAAACTGCATTGTATCAGTTTAACACTGCTGACAGGTCTGCAAACAAAGGTTTTCCAGACACACTGATAGAATCACAAGAGACAGTTCAATGAGCTGTCAAAGAGCAGAAAAACAAAACAAGAGCTTACACAGACATATCTGATTTATATTCTGGTCTAGTGATTCCAAACCTTTTTGTTTTGTGACCACTTACACTTTGTTATGTCCCTCACTAGATGTTTCACTAAATACACTTCCTCTCAGACGAGGTAATTTATGTAAGTAATGATGGTAAAAAACGTATTGGACATCTGAATCTTAGTGAGAAAAATAGGGAAGTGCTTCAGCTTTACACACTTAAGTAAATGTGTCTTTCTAAAAACACACAACAGCCCTTTTCCTCATTTTCAAATGATCATATTAGCTGCCTGAATCAGCCACGTGTCTTGCAGGTTTTCAGCCTTTTTTTTTTTTTTAATGTTTTTCCCATGATAAGTTCTGAATTGCTTTTGGCCCCCTGGGATGAAACGTCACATTGCGAAGGACACATTTGAATACAGGCCCAGTTGGTTGCTGAGGCTCTGCAGGGAGGGAGCGGGATTATCCACAAATGGTGCTCTGTCACAGTTCATGTTTGTATCTGAGAGCAAAACAGGAGCTCATTTGCATGAGTAACATTGCTTGGAGTGTAGCATGACTTTATTACTCAAAGCCTATGAGGGCCTTTGTTCTGTAGAAAATAAGACAAGTGGAAATAAAACATCTGTTTCACCACAGCAGAGGGCCTCTTAAGGTACTTCAAACACAAACACACTTGAAAGACAGGTGACGGCCAGCAAAATGACACGCTGATCTGAAAAGGGTTAACAATATTTTAAATCCATATGGAATTAGCTTTTTTTTATTCTGATTTCATGCAATCAGGTTGTTCATGTATCCATATAGAAATATTAGACACAGAGAAGCTAAATTAAAATCATTCAGGAGACTTAAAATATCATTTGATGAATTTTCCACTGAAACTCTGTGAATCTGGGTCAAAACCTTCCTCATATTGTCTTCCTAAAAACTCGTGTTTTAGATATAAACATTAATAATTCAAGTTCAAGAATAAGGATGCCCCATATCTGGGTAACTCCTGACTGTTTGTGTTCTTAGAAGCTATCCCAGTACACACATAAAAATACCATGAATCAGCCAATCAGGAATGATGTGAGAGTGGTAAAATTACTCACACCACCCAGGCTGACCTCTCCTTTGCCTCCTCTTGAGAACTGGCTGGTCAGATGGAACAACATGGTGCGCCCATGCCTCCTGGCTTCACTGAAGTGAGAGCTGCTCTTAATCCTGCACCTCTTGTTGTCCTCTGAAACTGTCACACAGTAGGTTAGCAACATCTCAATATGATCACAAGGTGGTGACACAAGACGTGGTGGGAAAGAAAGTATTGTGTCTGAACTCTGTCAGAGTTTCATGCTGAACAACTTTTCTTGTTATAATCACACAAGTAAGACTCAAAATCACAAATACTGATACATACTTGACTGCATTAGAACAAAATGACAGTCTATTTCCCCTGGCATAGTGCACTGTATGGTATTTGCGGCCGACTGTTTAGGTTCCACTTGAAGACACACCACTGCCCAAATCAAATTCCCCTTAGGAAAACATCATCTGAGTTCAGTGAATGAATGCCAGCCCAAACAAAACCGCTGGGTAGAATGTGATGAACAACAGTGCAAAAAGAAAATGAAAGCTGGGGGCCAAAGGATGATCCACTCATAAATCATCCTCAAAGTAAGCAAATAAGAGCAATTTGCGCTTGTAACCTACCCTCCTTCTTGCTGTTGAGCTGGCTCTTTCCATGGGTGTCAGTGATGTCCTTGAATGAGAAGAGGAAGAGAACCATTTCACCCTTCTCATTCTTGATGGGAACGATGTCTAACAGACACCAGAAGGCTGCACCTAGAGCAAAATCAGAAGTGTTCATTTAATATATCATTTGATGAATAAAGTCAGTTCCTCAACAGATATATCCAATGTAAATGTACAGGGTTGGGTATGACTAAAAGAGACACACAACAGCTACAAGTTACAGAGAATTTTGGTCATTTTGCATCTTTATGTGGTCATGTTGAATAATTTTATGGTAGTTTTCTTGAGTAGTAACGTTGTGTACTGCAGTTTTTTAAGGATTGACACCTTTTTATCAGAAATCAGTTTGTGATTGGATGCTTCACATTAAGGCTTGAAGAAAAGGAGGTCTCATGTCAGTTAAAACGTGTTGCCTCTCCTCGTAGTTTCTCCTTGCATCTTATGTGAGTAGAACTAAGACGCAAATGAGGGAAACGTGGATGCAATTAGAGGAACTGGGATTCACCTATGGTTTACATGACAGCCATGACACTATCAAGACTGCCACCTCTCACCTTCTGACTCTGGTATGGGGGGGCACTGTGGGGCTTCAGTGAGAGCTGGTTCCATTCCTCTAGCTCAGCCCCTGTAACTATATCGCCTTTAATCAATTCTGTTTTTCATGGCAAAGCCAGTCACATCAACTATCACCAGATTTAAATCATGGATACCTGTCAAGTTTGGCACAGTCCTTCTAAAAATACACCCCAAATTAGACATGTATCATGTTCTTGAGGATTGTGCACAAAAAGGAAGAACACATCAGGGCATTGGTTATAACAAGTTCTAGCAGGGAAGGAGCACGGCAGATCTAAGACCTTTCTATAACCCAGTATGCTCATTAACAACTCTGCAGACACTGCACTCTGCTACCAAACAGATGTTTCACATCTCCTATAGTGTCTCTAGTGTTCTTGTGTGTGTGCGCGCATGTGCTTGTATGTTAGGCATAGACAAGGAAGGAGTGGGTGTAAATACAATATAGGAGAAGCTATTGCATAGGTTTTGTGCTAGCAAGCACTGAATTCATATAGTATGAATGCAGTTACTGAACATACTGCTTTCCTTCCACTTTCACTGTCTTTGTCCTCTTTCCCCTTTTCCATGGTTCTTGTGTCTGCACCTGCTTCATATCACTCTAGGTGCATTTCAAATGATTGTATCTTTCCCCAAGCCAGTTGTAGTGGCACTGCCTTACTATTATAAAGTTTTACAGTTTTAAAGAAGCGTTTATCTACTGCGGTGCAGATTTAGTGATCCCTCAGAGTAATCAGTGGTTCACACACCTTGAGGCTGCTGCAGGTTTGGGTCTCTCTTGAAGACACAGAATTCTGTGTGCCAATTTAAACCGTTTTAAGTTCCTATTTCATGCATTTCATCTTATTTTGAGCCCAGCACTTTTTCAGAAGGATTAGCTACAAGTCAGAAGGAATGAATTAAATCCAGTATTTCAGCTACTGTAATACACACACACACACACACACACACACACAACACACACACACACACACAGGCAATAGCTTGTAGCTTGTTAATTCACACATATACTCCTTGTTACAGTTTTTGTGCTTATTTTGAACAAATACATTAAATGACTTGACTGATTATTCTAAATTTGATGGTTTAATAATTATAATAAAGGGACACTAAATCTACAAACCAAGTTTTGCAAAGCTGAACTTCTGTATTTAAAGTTATGCTGCAGAGAGTCATAATTTAACCAAAATGTTCTGCTCTCATCTAAAAATAAATGTTCACTCCATGATGGTGAGAACAAAATATCACACAACTTCATGTTGCTTCAAAAACTCAACAGATGATCACAGCTTGATCAAATTATAAGAGAATCTACTAAAAAGTCATTTTGTCACTTATAGGAATGTTACATCCTCCAAAACCTGAGTTTGAATGAATAAATCTGCATGCTGAGATCTACAGGTCATGCATAAATCCCTTCTGACTTTCCTTTCTACTGTGCACCTACCATTCTTCTTGTAGAAGTGGACCTCAGCTTGATACTCTTCTCTGCCCTCCAGAGCCTTCGCTACCTGCTGGGCCACATGCTCACTGGTGTCAGCCCCGTACAGGAAGCGGCAGGTGCAGTTTTTCTGCATCACCTCAGTTCTCGTGAAGCCCGTCAGTTCACAGAAGCCATCCGAGCAGTAGACGATGGGGTAGCCACGGTGGCCCTGGGCGTTGCCCAACAGGAAATTACTGTCTGCAATGGTGACACAAGCCAAACAGGGGTTAGAAGCTGTGAGGAGGCAGGTTTTTGATATGCTCCTGTAAAAAAAAGTCAGTATAAACTCTCTTAGCTGATATTCAAGACCAACATGTGGAGCCACAAACATTTTTCAATTTTTTCACATCTCTCAGTAACAAATATAACAAACAGTGGGTTGCAGGATGTTTAGGTCTGAGGTCTGGTTTGCCCCTTCCACTAAAACCAAAGTCCATCAAAGACAAAACCAAGCACTCCGCTGAAACTAATCAAAGGCCATCATTGTCTAGTAATTGAGTTGTCAGCTACAGTCAACTAGACTATTGTTGTGGGAAGAATCGGTTTCTGGGCAGCAGACAGTAAGATGTAATGACAGCTGACTGAGTTACTAAATGAGCACGAAGGTTGGTGATTGATTCCCTCTTAACTCAAGGCTTATTTGATTGGACGATGGGAACCCACAAAGGACTTGATCCTATATATTTGAAAAAACAGGCCCGATACTAGGGTAGAGTATGAAATCACAAAAATAGTTAGTAAAAAAATTAAAACAGTAAGAAATGATCAATTAAAAAGAAGAGGCAAAAGCTTTGGGAATGACTGAACTTTAGTCACTCTCTATTTTACCTTCACAATATAATGTGACACAGACACAGGAAACAATCCTAAAGTTAGCATGTGATAATATTTAATCCTTTGGAAGGTTTGCGTTAAGTGGGTGTATTGCTGGATACCCCACCAAAATATGTTTGCTTTGCACCCTCATGCTTTCAGCACCATGGACAGGTCTCCAGATAGAGTACAGAGCCTATAAAACAAATATTACTGAGCCATTTTTGTTCAACATTCTCCCATAACACTATTGAATTGGATCAAGTACTCCTTCATTGTGTCTCTTTGGCTTTAGGGTTGTGGAAAGATATTTCACCATGGAAAAATACAGTGATTGGGGCAGGTCTGCACCCAATAATTTGTACAGCACTGATCCTGGAATTGTTGATGTTCAAGCCTGGTCAATTTGGTCAAGTTGGCATTCATTCTATTAACAGTTTAACACTTTTATCCATCACTTTTTTACTGGTGCTTGTGCACACTCCATCACAACACATACTGTAGTGAATTCACCCTATTGTAGCTGGAAAGTGATTGGTTACTATGCCAATCAAATCATACGCTGATCAGCCATAACATTATGACCACCTCCCCAATACTGTGTACACAGGAGTCGATGCAGCAGTTGATTGGCACTCGTGTCACTCTGCAGCTCGCTGTGCATCTTCTAGGAATCTGTTTGCTTCCATAGTTCTACTGTCAGGAAGGGCACAAATGTGTTGAGCATTCAGAGAAAAACTTATGTAAAAGGAATGAAAACTGTGGTGGTGAGGACAAGATAGAGAAATTTTTTTAGACAAATTCAGCAGCCTCCGCACTGTACTGCATTATCATAATAAAGATTACTGAGTTGCAACTTTTGTCCTCTTTTCACTTTCCTTTTTTTAGTTTTGCCTTTTTGTGATGGGTTTTATAATTTGTCTGTTGTCAGAGTCACTCCGATCCTTACACTTGCCCATTTTTCCTGCTTCCAACAACTTTGAGGACTGAATGCTCACTCTGTGCCTAACTCAATCACACTTTTAAATAACTCTGTCTGATTGTAAGATTTTTACTGTGTAGTGTTTTTTTCTTTTGTTATTTATATATGGAGTATATGTTATATGTCAATTGGAAACATATGTTTTATCTATTCGTAGTTAGGTTGGGTTTATATATTGGTGGAGATGTATGTATGTGTGCAGCACTGAGTCCAAGTCAAATGTCCCTGTGGAGAGTTTATTGTATTTATAATATGCCCTACATACTGACAGGGAGCACTGTAGCGAGACAATCAATGTTAATCACTTCACTTCTCAGTGGTCATAACATTATGGCTGATCGATGTAATGTCTCTGTATATATATTAGATTAGGTTAAATAAATAGTTTGTATTTGCTAATCCTTGGCAAAAGTCATTACTGATGTACCAAACATCACTCCACAGTAACTGACTTCTTTCTGCTCTTTAACTGACATCAGAGACAGGTTTCCTGAATGCCAAGTGGAGAGGCAGTACACAGATAAGTCTGAATTCTACGAGCCTAAGAAGTAGGAGTATTAACCAGCTGCTGTGCTCCTTCCACAATCTAGCAGTTTAACTGGCCAGACTGAGATAAAAGCGCTCCATAGGGGAATGTTTTTCTCAGCAGTGACAACCCTTCTTGGGTTTAATACGTTTCTTTGAATACAAAGTCACAACATTAAGGACAAAGTGTTCTGGAAGTCTGGCTCCATCTTTGCACATAAAAAAAAGATCACCCTAGAAACATGGCTGAACACGATGTGGAAAAAAACTCATGCCCTCTTTTTCATGTTCTATAAATTCCTGACACCCCAGCTCAGTGAGCCAGCAAGTGTTGGAGAGCAACCACATTCGTCCCTGGTTTATGTAATGTTTACCTAAGAATAGGTACATCTCTACTCAGCAGTCTTAATTCAGACCTTCAAATAGGTCATGGGCAGGTGTAGTCATAAATCACTTTGTAAGGATGAATTGAAATCAAGGAGCCACAAAGGAACAAAACATTTATGCTGTGTTTGAAGGCACGCTACCTGCGCTGTTTCACACTGTGGAGCTGATCAGTCACTGATAAAATGTGATGTGATATTTTTATGGATTGCAGATGTAAAACCCAAGGGATAACATGTTAAATATAAAAACAATTATTTCCAACATAGTCCCAAGGTGTTAAATGACACAGGTCACAAGACAAATATAAAACTAAACAATAAAAACCTAACAATCACAAATTAAATAAAAATACCATCTACATCAAAAGCAGAATGGCTAAAGTATAATTAAAAATTGATCTATAAGCTAAGCTAAGCTAACCAGCTCCTGGCTCTAGCTTCATATTTTCCATACAGACATTACAATGGTATCAAGCTTCTCATTTAATTCTTGCCAAAAAACAAGTGTATGTAAAAATGTGTATTTTCCAAACTGTACATGTAAATGCAATATAAAACTCTGATGAGCATGCAGATGATTTTCTGTATTAGAGCAGTTTGTTTTGAATCCTGGAAACCAGTCCTTACTAAGAGCACTCATGGATTTCACTTCTACAGTTGCATACTTATTTCTTCTGTGGTAACTTTGTAAACAAGCAATCCAGTGATGGCATAAACCCCACTTCATAAGCAGTCTGAGTCTATGTGCATGCATGCATGCATGTGTGTGTGATTGTGACAATGCCTCAATTCTTAGGCTGTAATCCTCTCAGGGACGTTGTTTCGATTGGCTGCTCTGCTGCACCAGCTTCCTTAATTACACATCTGTGCTAACTCACTACAACTGTAATCTGACATGATAATGCTGCTGCTTCCAAAAAACTGCCTGCATCACGTTCGTGTCGGACCAGTCACACAAGTACATAAAGGGCACATGCAGCTTGGCCTCTGCCTTGGTAGCTAATTATCATTCCGCAGCAGGCAATTACCTACTGAGGCAGATGGGTGAGATCATAAGGAGAAGTGGACTTGCAGGGGAAATGGTCACTGGTGTGGTAAAGTAGCATGAGGACAGTCAGTGAAAATCATCAAATGTTTGTTTATCTTCATTTAATAGATTAATAAGACTATTTTTTAGACTTCAGAATAACACATGTGGACAGCATCTGAACCAGAAAAACCATTTTTTAAAATAGTTTGACAAAAGTATGTGTGTTGTTGCAATTTGAATCCTGTAAACTGTAAAAGGACAGCAGTCTTGTAGTGAGAACACTGAAAGTGCTTTACAAAGCCTCACACCCACTCACACCTACATTTACACAGTGATGGAGGTGGATCTGCTGTATAAGGTGCAGACCTGCACATCAGCAGTACATTTACATTTCAATATTTCACTCCAAAAGATATATTTAGAAGAAGCCAGGGCTCAAATTATCAATCCTGCAATGACCAAATGATCTCAGTATCAGGTAAAAAAATGTCACGATGCAGAATTCATGCCTACCTCACATTTAGCACCTGTAAAACTAAAATACCAGGAACTCAAGAGAAGCATCAAAGGAGCCTCAAAAGCTTCACCTATCCACTGGCTTCTGTCTACAGTGTTCCTGGCAGCTGCCTATTAGGACCTGTTCATCAGCTGTGTAACAAGGAGCGCCATGAGAATTAAGCTGAGAATTAAGCTGAGAATTAAGCTGACAGTCCTCTGACTTGACTCTTCTTTGGTCGCCTTTTAACAGGAAAGTGTTTAAGGGGAAAATAAATCCAGTTCTTATCTCTGCCTGCAGCTGCCTTGTGGTAATGCTGCCCCACAGGGCTAGCGCTGCTGTCACTGGGAAAATGCTGCCAGGGAGTTTGTGTAAAGAAGCCGGTGGAGGATAGATGGGTGGAGAGGACAGGAATGTACGCTAATAACACACACAGAATAGTGATGGTGCAAGTAAGAAACAGAAATGGTCTGGATTTTAGCCATTGTGACAACAAACATCTGCCCTGATGATGTCATAGTATTATGAAGCTGCACAATAGATAATGAATAGGAGACAGATTTTGTGCTTTTAAAACCAAAATACTAAATTGTTTGTAGTTATATTTTGCGCAAAGGCAGACAATTGTCATATTTAACTTAGCAGAGGCTGGAAAATCAATGTAATAAAGTGGTGGTTTACACTGTACTAACACATATGGATGATGTTTGACTGTGAGGCAGTAGCGAAGTTGCATAATGGACCATGACTGGTTTTGCAACTAGTTTTGATATCACAAATTATGCTTGCATGTACATGCCTGGAACTCAGACTTAAGATGAGCACATAGAAACCTTTCCTTCTTCAGTCCTTGCATCTTCTAGTATCCACCTCCACTTATATGTCATTCTGCACAGTGATGTTCAAGTCAATTAACAAGAGGCAAATTTTTGAATAAAAGGGGATTTTAACAACTACTGACAACTTCTATATGGTATAAAAGTTTTAGGAATCTATAAAGAGCTGAATTGTTTTAAGCACAAGCTGTAAAAACCACCTTTAGCTGCAGCAGGCTGAAGGCGGTTTGAGGTGACAGTGAAAAGCGATTGCAGCTGCACAACCCACAGTGCAGCTCGTTTTTACGGATCTTGATTTGTAAGCAGGTTCGAGTGTTTTTTCTTTAGTGGACCATCTTTTCCTCAAAGACCTAAGCGTTCAAGCATCATCAAGTGGCGGGACCCTGTCGCCCCGGCAACAGGAAGGAAGCTATTTTGAGCCGTGAGCACTCTGCCACTCCTCTAGAAGCCAGGAGCTTTGAGAATGGCTTGGAAGTGGCGAAACTGGCATGTAGCTGCAAAGAAGTGTAACCTGCTACTGCCACCAAGGTTTTATCTCAGTCTGTTGCTTTAAAATTACATTATTTGGTTCCTTCTACTATGCGGGAGAAAATATAAACACTGTTCTAAAACAGTGGTAAAGCATGAAATAGTTTGTATCAGTTTAAGTTTTCTGTAAAGTGGTGGCTCAGCTGTCCTGTCCAGAGCTCCCATAGTGCTTTAGGACAACATATGACAGGAAACCGCTTCCCTCTTGATTCCTTCTGCTGGGAGGTCAGAGAGGAGGTTCAGCCAGAGAGCAGCCCCCAGGAGCTGGCAAGGTGTACATGTTCAGTTCAAGGACTCTTCAGCTATGTTCTAATCTCACAAAGCTCCTAATTGGCATTTTCAACTGATGTCAGTGTTCAGATTTGAGAACAATTCTGATAAGCAACATATCATTGTGCTTTAAGCTCTCATTAGGATGCCTGAGTCACAAGTTAAAGCTAGATACAAAAGAAGAGACACAAGCCAAGCACAGATGACAGAGCTGCCTAAAGGCTGCAGCAGCTAGTCTGGAGCTACCTGTGTGAAGCCAATGTGAAAACACAATGGGATTCTGAAGGTCAATTTTCTGTTTGTGTGTTTACTGTACAAGTGCAAACAAACTCTTCTTTACATCCCAGTGTGACCATCAGGCACTGTTTTGGGTTTTTTTGTGGTCCAGATACAGATCATCAGCCAGTGACTGGTCAACATTTATGTCTTATGTCTCATATTCAAATTGAAGTAGGTGAAGAAGAATCATCAAGCATATTGCAACCAGCAGGCCTTTCTTATTTCCAGTGATGACAGCCATCCTTTAACTGCTTTAAGATGCTTAGTTTTCACTAATTTTTTAAAAGTATTTTTCACCATTATTAAACAGGATACAGTCTAATAAGGGAACAGAGAGGGGAGATGTCATGAAACAAATGTCCATAGCAGACAGAAGCAAACTTGGCCAATTACATGGTCAACAACTGGGATCAGCAGGGTAGGGCCATGATGCCATAACTTCACTCTGTTTTGAATGGATAACTAGGTAGTGTGAAAAACAACTCATACTCATTCTCAGAGTGCTTCCTTGGTACTCACGGGTGCCATCGAAGCGTGTCGCAATGGTATCCAAAAAGGTGTTCTGGGGGGCCAGGAGGCCCTTCATCACCGGCATCTTAACCCAAATGTGGGATGGCCAACAGCTGGCTGCAGGTCACACCATTCCAGAAGTGCGGCAGGTGGCTTCCTGAGGCTCTCAGCAGGTGAAGAAGACAGACCAGTGCTGGTCACAGGAATACACATCCACAATAAAAGAAGGCACCCTTCTCCAAAAGATGCCTCTTCCAAAGACAATAGTGCAGCCTGGGAAGACTAAAATAGCTCAATCCAACAATGCAGAGGTTCGGGTGTGGGTAGCCTAGATATGTGGAAATTAAGAGCAGCAATCAGCAGCAGCTGCTCAGTCAGCAAGGAGAGATCAAGCCCAGCTGACGCTGAGATCCAAAAAGCTTCAGATCAGTCAGCCCAGGTGTTGCCTGTCTGTACCTTACAACCACAGAGCTCATTCCAGCAGCAATGTGGCGAAAGTTATCCTTTAAGTCCACTGCGCTTTCCATCTAGAAGAGAGCCAGGAATCTGCAAGACAACAAAAAAGGACAAAGCATGTATGTACACCTTGTTCATCTTTCAGCTCAGTGTTTTGTCAGGAGGCTATAGCAGAGTAGTTCCATCTTTGTGAGCTTTCTCCCCTCCTTCCTTGTCTCTGTCTCTGTCTCTGTCTCGCTCTCACTCCTGCCCCCATCTACTCCTGTGATATCCCAGCCAATGAGATGCTAGCATCCTCTGTGGGGACCTGTTTTCATCTTTGGTGGGGGTATAAAAAGAGAGAGAGGGAGTGAGAGTGAGGAGGGAGCAGTGGAGGAAGGAAGGATGCTTTTGGCATAGCTGACAGCACCGTTACACCCCATAGTACTACTGTCGCCACATGGCTTTTGTGGACGTGTCTGCAAATCAAAAAAAGATGGCTCACCTGCATGCCAGTCAGTGTGCTCTATTGCATTCAGATGAAAATTGTGGTATTGTGCTGTTTTGTCACAAAGGTCTGACACAAGGGACAATGTAAAAGTGTGGGGGGAGAAATATTCAGAATGGTTTATTTTTATCTCACATTTCTACTTTCCAAAGTGAAGATGCTGCATGCGCTATAAGACTGTAGCCCTAAAATCACACTCCTAGAGTACTACTGTCACCTCGTCTGGAGGCTCCCAGCCCATACAGTATCCTCATCAGAGAATTCAGGGTCTGGGATCAAACCCACTAAGTGCGGATTAAAAGGATTATAAGCAGCTCAGAGATGCTTTTCATCAGGACTTGATGCTAAACATGCCAAAGTAACACTGTGTCTTAACTCTCTTTGACCCAAGCAAACAGCACAGCTTAACCGACAAGGGAAATATCTCTCAGCAGTTTCACAGTAATCAGGGATAGATGATCCTACTATTAATTTAATTAACATAACAGTAATTAAATAATTATTCTAAACTACATTATAAAGCCTGATAATTGGGGTGTGAGTTTTGAAGAGATAGTTTGTCCTCTTCTTGGAACTAGTAAGTATGGTCATGTAAACTGACAGGAAGACAGCACAGATCTGGATGAGGTGAATTAACGTCATTAAAACTATGCAGGTTTCTGCAGGCTGTGTTAGAAAACAGGCAGACTCAGATGAGTCTGTTCATTTTAAAGTTGAGGATAAGTAATTGTCAGCAGGATTAAGGGTGTGAATTCTGCTGAATTGCAAAGCAGTTTCTTTTTTTGTCACTGTGATTTATGTGAAGCTTGAGCACGGAGCCACCAGTAGTCATAGAGATTCACCCAGGAGCTAAAAGGAAACCTAGAAGTGATCCTACAACAACATATCATTCTGAAGCCTTTTTTCTTTAATACTTCATTTTTAGAATCCTACACTCTACACGTGAAATTGTGCCATAACGGGTGTAAAACATTTTAGCTTTACTATCATTTTTTATAAATTAAAAATAATTATATCCTCTCTATTTCTTAGACCACTCTGTGCAAGACAGGAGTCAGGTAAACAAAAATGGATGATAACAGAAACAGAAATATACAAGTTTCTTGTAGGGGCATTGATAATACTGGAAAAGTTGAGCTGATTCAGTAGCTGTGTGGGTGTTTGCCCCAAGCCAGAAATGAAATCTTTATGATGAAAAATAAGTTTGAATTCAATCTCAAGTCCTGGCACCAACTGCAGATCTATAAAATGAGAATAACCAGATCAAAGAAACAGTGAAAGAGGTGTTAAACCAGACAGGCTAAAATTTTGGCTGATAATTAATCAGCAATACAAACACAACTCCATGAAGTTATATGTTTATTTTCAAAAGCAGCAAGAACAATGTGTGCTACATGTGATGATTCTGATTAATTCTGTCTTTGGGTGGAGAGAATGAGAAACACTGTAAACTCATCATTAACATGCTGGCAGTCAGAAAATGTGGAGAGAAACATGCAGCTGCATTTGAAGAAAAAAGGGGAAGAAAAAGACAAATGAAAGCGAAAGGCCGATTCATAGGCTGTAACACAGTATTGTTCCCCCAACTCGGATCCTGTTCAAGCCCTGGCAGCTTTTCACTACCGTCTATTTTGGCCTCTCAATGTTTTTTTTCTTGTGGTTCATCCACCTTGCCCACTCTCTACTCTGCAGTATAATATGACATTCAACATGCAGACAGCCAGGTGAAATGCTACCCCAACTACATTCCCCATATTTTCCACCTATCTGAGGACTTGTGATGTTTACCCTGGTAGGGAACAAATGTCAAAACCTGTTCTGGAGGTGAAACTTGAGGGATTTCACTTGACTGTTAGTTACCATAGCCCTAATCCTGACTTAAACTGTAAGACAGATAAGCTCTGGGGCCAGCATCGTTCACTCAACATCCCTTCTCTCAGGACAACACATCCTCCTGCCCTTGGCAGACCCATTGAGAAATCAGGCCTGTCATTCTCAAATGTGAGCTCTTTGCACTGAATTAACTTGTGACTGAGCAGATGTGCCCAGAGGCTCTGTGAATGCCCCTGTGCAAATCCTCGAGGCACGTGATGACAGGCAGGATGACAGACACAAATCATCTGTAATGAATACACAGGACTGCTGCTTTGGTCTGACCACAATATGAAGTCAAAATAAAGTGAGCGCAGCATCAAATCTCTGCTGAAATGGGATGTTATTAAAAATATTAGCCCACTAAATGAACAGAGAGACCTGCAGAAATTACTGTATGTTTTACACACAAAGGACTAGCCCCCTCTAGTGGTTGCAGATACTGGCACAGTACAGTAGCTGGACAGATGGAGAAGTAATCCCACACCAGGAAGCAAAGAGTTTTCTGCCTGCTGAGGGTCAGTAAGAAGCATCAGCACTTCTGGGGTCCCAGCAGGCAGAAACAAGCAGCTCACAGACAAAGGAAAGTTGGAAAATCTATATGATCTAAATAATGTTACTCAAAAGGGAAAGGTTCTGGAAACAAATATGTGATTGTACAAAAAGTGATTCAGCACTAAGAAATTCTATGTTTTTACAATCAACTGCAGACTGGGTGCTTACCTTCACCGGCATACCATATCCATTTAGTACAAGAGAACACTAAAGGGACAACAAAGACAAAACATATAATGTTAGCGAGTCCAGATTTCACTGGGTTGCTTCTGGTGAGACTAAAGCTCTTTCGGCATTTCACTTCTAGGTTTTCATATATTGCAGACCATAACTTACAAAGAATTTTATTTGGGCAACGCTGAGGGAGTATAGGATGTTTGTCTTTGTTGCACTGCATCCCCTCACTCCATGATTTAGGTAAACATTGTTTTTAGGTGTACATCTTGCCAAACGTGGCTGCACTTATGGAACAATGAGAGTGTGGTGATTCCACAATAATCAGTTAAAACCACATGGTATCAATTAAAAGATTTTTAAAAATATATATGCATGTTGCAATGTAAATGTTTTACAAACTTAAAGCTACATTATGACTTTTTCTTTTATTTATCTTTTGTAGAAATATGCACCAAAATGTGGAGAGGTGCTGTCGAAGCCTCCTGTGACCCAGACTCATTGAATAGCACAGCAGTGCAGAGATATTAGCTTCTAAAAGGTTTTGAGTGAGATTTTCAATTATTTCTGCTTGATCAATATGTTTTGTTGCATGCTCATTTTTGTAACTTCATAATGACAAATATCTGAAGAGCTGGGCAGAGCGTGGTGGAGCCTAGTAGAGCATAGTGGAGCAGGGAGGGGGAGTGCTGGGCGGAGCACAGTGGATTGATTTGGAGTTTCATGCTAGTGCTACCTTAAGTTACACAGTGTAACTTTAAGCAAAACCACCAGTGAGGAAAATGTTCTAATGCTTTTTCTATTGCTTCTTCTCCAACTGCCATAATAACCATCAAAATACCCACATGAAACAAGAATGTCGCCTGAGTAATAATAAAGGATCAAAATAAAGACTGAGTCGGATGCATTTACATAACAGTAACTCTGAATTATTCTTTAGCACAATATACTCAGAATATACTCAGAATATGGTTTCATAAAGACTGTCGTGGAAGCCAAACAAGGTCCTGAAACATCAAACAAAACTACACAGCAATAGTTTAACAGTTCATTTTAATACGATTGTAAATATAGCTGAGAAAATAAAACCATTTAAATGAACATTTTCGATAGTCAGAAATCAGTGATGTGTTTTTGTTTTTGATTCCAAGGACACAATCCAAAAACTCCATGCAAAGTTAATAAAAAAAACAAACTGGAAACACTTCAGTCATCGCTCACCACAGTCTGAGTCACATTCCCCACTACAGGAGGCTTCAGGAAAGTGTTTTTCCCCATAAGAAGTCAGCGTATTCTTTCCTAAGCAGCACTCTTTGCATATTAAAAGTGTTAGGCGAGGAGTTTGAAAAGGCCATCATCTGCTGACGAAGCTTCTCGAACGCACCCTCTGCCACCAGCTGCACCCTCATTGGTCCGATGCTGCCTCTGATACGGAAAGACTTGTAGACAGCTGAGTCCTGCTGGAGACAGATGTCCAACTGGAAAGGAAGAGAGATCCAGACAATGACAAAGTGCAAACATGCTGTGCGTTTTTGATGCTAGGATTGTCTTACCTTATATCTCTGTTCCTCCGTGAGGTTCCTCACACCTTTCAGCTCTATAAACACCTGGTAATGAGGATCTGAGCCGCCTATTGAATCTCCTACAGTGAAGAAAGATTCATTGTAGTGCAACATGACCCTGACTAACTCTCTCAAGAGTTCACACTGCTGACTGTAAAAACGATAGACAGACTAAGAGCGTCAAGAAGTGAAGCCACCAAAACTCAATCGTCCCCTGGTGGCTGGTTGCACTATAGGTCATAAATGTCACATATCAATGGTTCATAAACACAGATGACAGATTACAAATTCTGCTATGACTGAGCGTCATAATCAAGACATCTTACCCATGATGCCACTCTCAGCGCAGCAGTAGTCAACCAGCTGCGCTCCAGGCCACTGAGCAACAGCTTTCTTCAGAGCTTCAAGGAACAATGCTTCAGACACCTTCTCCCCTCGAACATTCAACATCTGACCCCGTCTGACAGGACACAGAAGCAGGGAGAAAATGTTTTGCTTTAAGAGTCACTTGGGCAGACAACAAAACCAAGTAGGAATACATTATGACATGAAAATGTAAGGGTGTATTTGCTCGCTGTGTTATACTGTACCTGTACTGAAATTCAACAATGGGACAGTGATTATGGAATCCAACTACTTTCACTATGTCTCCAATGCGATATCTGTAAAACAGCAAATACCAGTGTCACTTACACAACTGGGCAACACATTAATGTTCAATTATTAGCTGTAACATTAACTTTTAATTACTTAGACTGTCTGAGCCAAAGCACAAATCTTGATATTAGCAACTCATTCTGTCATAACAGAGTGCAGGCAAGCGAAACCTTATCACAATACCAATAACAAATCAATTACACAACATAATTTAATTGACAACAAGTTAATTGACAATTACCCTTTTAAAAGAGACTGTTCTGTTTATGAAGCCCCCTAAACAATGAGAAAAAATGTCTGTCTGGGACTGTAACACTGCACAGAACTGGGGAAAATCTGCAAGTGAGCACAGTGACAGTCTGCGCTGTGACCTAGACCGATTGACGGATGTTTCACTAGACCGTGTTAACTGCAGTTACATATAATTTAAATAAAAATACAGCAATTCTATAGAGGCATTTTTCAGACCGGAAGAGTCCTGAGGCATTTGTGATGATGAGCTCGTAGTTCTGTCCCATCTTCACCTCCTCCATCAGCAAAGTGTGGGGCGACTCTTCTTCTAGGCTGCTCTCCGGAAGGAACTCGCAGAACATGGAGCGAGGACACAGCAAATAGTGTCTGGTTGGCTCCTGAGGCCACAGGTTCACCCCTATTAGACCTGCAGGGGCCCAAACACACTATTAGAGCAAATACTGAGCACAGAAGACTTTCTGGCTTGTGAGCATAGTGACACATTCACGCGCCCTAACCAGTCCTTTCATGTTGTTATTTTATGCAGTGATATGGGATTCACTGAGTTCACCTCCACTGCTCTTGACTACAACTAATGAATGAATCTAACATGGTTTTTAAATGAATCTGTTAAATCTTTTCTCCACAAAACTGTCAAAAATAACAACAGCAAAATCACAGAACCCATCATAGAATTACAATCTTTGTCCAACAGCCAAAACTGTAACACGCATGCAACTTCTAGCATGTTTCAATCTGTGATAAGGGCATTTATTTTTACTTTATAAGATAAATTACTCAAAATCTTAATTGATTACTATTATTGGAAAACTGAAACCACACAGGTAACTGAAAAAATGGCCCTGCTGGGGGCTAAGTACATCATATAACATTCCTAATATTAGGCTTATTAGAACATGTAATAAGTGATTTTAGGAGGGTTTTGACCATCGACTGTAGAAAATATGGAAACAGTCACAGCTCACAGAAGTGAAGCCACCAAAACGCAGTCGCCCCCTTGTGGCTGGTTGCGGCGGTATATGTTATAAATCCTGCCGCCTCCATGTTGGTGGATAGGACATGAGCCAAATTAAAATCTCAAAGTATAAATCAGCTAAATTTGTCCCAGAGTTGATTTCTGTGGTTTATGGCAGATATTATCACACTGATGTGTGAACAAGTAATCATTTTTCTGGTAAGAATTTTTTTTAAATAAGTTATTTGATGATATAAAAAGGGATGTATTGTGGTTGATTTGACAGCTTTGATTGGTGGTCTGATGCTGCCACTCCACTTCTGGTTACTTGCTTCACTTTTGCATAGTGAAAGGAAGTGGTGATGCCATTTCCATTGTATATATGTCAATGGTTTTGACATTTTCAACCACACCACCTCTAAAATAAACCACTTTGCCATTTAAATAATTAAATTCCAAAGTCTGAGATCAGACATTTTCACATGCAGCTTCCTACCTTCAGTGGCAGCGTAGAAAGGAGAATAGAAAGGTACTCCTTGGCAGTAATTCTCTCTCAGCGTTTCCCCGTAAATCTGATTGGAGCCTGAGTCCACTGTCAGCACCAAGTGAAGCTTAGGCCACAGCCGCTTGGCAATTCCTCGAAAGCCATCCTGGAAGTGGGCCCGGAGCTGAGTGGCCCTCCCTGAGTCTGGCTTCATCAGTGCTTCAAGCTTAGCCCTCACTTTGGGCTCCAGTGCCAGAGCATTACTGACCTTCCCTTGTTCAATGTCCTCCACAAGCTCCTGCCAGCGATCCTACAAGACAGATAAGATACCAAATGGAAATGACTTTTCTAATGTTTAGTTCATCAAACTAATTAACTGAGCCTTTCTTTCAGTCAGTGGAAGCCCAACATGTGACTGAAAATTTCAGACAGGTTTACTTGAAAACATCACTAGGTGTGCATAAAGGACATAGCAGCAAAGGACTTTCCCACCAAATCAGAAAGAGAATCCAATGTGGATGTTTCGTCTTTTGGTTTCTTATTGACATCTGTGACACTTTTAATATTTTCCTGCTTTATAAATCTCTAAAGACAAAGTGTAAATAACAAGAATAGCATCATGCAAAAAAACTAAAGAATAAAAGTAAAATGCAACCATTAATAAATAACAAAATAAGTCAGTAAGTAAATAAATGAGCATTTGTGTGGTGCTTTTCAAAATAAAGGCTACAATGTTTTTCACAAGAAAAGTGTGAGCATAGTTGTGAACTATGTTGCACCTGCAGAGCAATGAAAGCATAGAAGATTGTGGAGGCAAAGCTGGCCTCCAGTGTTCCTACACTGGGATCTTTCATAGCAAACAGGAGATGCAGATAGAGGGCGTCCTTCTCGCTCGGAACCTGAGGGGGCACATGGCAGTGCAGTTAGGAATGTTTGGGGTTTTCTGCTTCATATCACTCTTGTGGGTTATTTTTTTTAAATTATCAACCATTCGGTACCTTTGTACCAATTTAACTGCCTCTAAATGGCCAGTATAACCAGTAAAACTCTGTTTTTGCCTAGTCAAAAAGTGATTAAAGCTAATATTTTGATAATGAAAGGAGTTTTCTGCCTTATATTACCTTTAATTACATGTACGTTTGCCATAAAAACCAAAAGAAAACCACAAAAACATTGCTTAAAAATTACTAACTGCTGTACATTGTGGTAAGTGTCACGTACTGTACTTTAAGAAGTGACACCTGTGCCTGTACCTCAAAGGTGGGAGCTGGTGTTGTGTAGAGGTTAAGCATGTGGTGGGAGGAGGCTGGTGTGGAGGGGTTTGGCGCAATGGGAATGCCAGCCTCGGACTGGCGACAAGTAGGTGTGTAGAAGAACTTGGTTGTGCGCTGCAGGCTGTTGGTTCCAGGGAGCCCTCTCTGCACGACATCCCAACACACAGTCAGTCCCTGACAAAAACGCACAAATTAATATCATTATTATTAACATAGTATCAGTCCTACAGTATATGCACATCAACACATCACCATCAAGCTTCACCTGTAGGAAGAACTCACTGCTGGTGTCCCTTGTGCTGAGCAGCATAGCACTGGCTCCTGACGTCCCAGATGTCATGGCCAGGGTCAGAGGTTTCTCAGCAGTGATCACCTTCTCCTCTCCTGCAGCGACGCGCCTGATGAGCTCTCGGTAGTGCTCATATGTGGTGATAGGGTGCCGCGCCCGGAAGCCTTCACTGTCTGAAATAACATCAGTGTAACACCCAACCACCAGTTTAAGCCAAGTAAAAGTATGTTGAGTTTGTTGAGATAATTTTGTAGTATATATAGATTTTATAAACTGAACAATCAATTATTGAGAAAATAATCAGCTGATTATAATGTAACCAGCTGCTAGTATAATGTAAACAAAAAGTATGCTCTTCGGGAATTGACCTCAGTAAAATCCCTGTTGCTTGTGCCCCATTTACACTCCGACTAAACACAACAATACATAGTTAAATCATAGTAGGTGAGAAACTGATTTTACAACATATGCAGATTAACAAATATCCACATGGACTATGACAAAATGGGCCCCTGGGCAGAGAAACCCCAAAATGAAAGAATCTTTTTGGACGTTTTGTGTCGCTCGCTCTGCTTGTGTGATTATTTTGCTTCTCTTTGTATGCAATTAACACTATCTTATTTGTCTCACCTTGTATTGAACTGAAGTCATACCGTTTTCCATACCATGTGTTTGCGTTTTTACGCAGGCGCTTCAGCAGAGTCTCCTCCTGGGCTCGTTTCACATTGAGCGTGTCGGCTTCAAGTTTCTTTCTCTCACGTCTGCCCAGCCAACCCATAGCCTTCACTGCCACATACTGGCTGAGCAGACTGCCAAACGTCCGGTTTTCACCTTTTATTTTCGAGCTTATGTCGCTCCATATGAGTGCCATCCCGGCCAGAAAGCAAACACCGAGGCCGGTAAGTAGTAGAGCGAGAAACCCTGTGTTACAGAAGAAACATCAGCAGAAAATCCTGATGTTCATCAACATCACATCCATTACTTGCTTCGTCTACAATCAAGAGTGCACACGGACGAGCTAAAACACTATGCTTAGAGCGACATTTATAATCATCTTACACAATCATTTTGTCACACTGAATCCACTTACCATGATTTTGTCCAATGGTGGCGACAATAACCGATAAAACGGCAAAACAAAGCGGCACAACAACACGAAACCAAGACAAAGCCATCCAGAGCAAATGATATGATGTTCTGTTTGTGTTGTTTTAAGTTTAGATATATAATGACCTGTACTGTAAATTGCATTTATGTCAACAGTAAGACTTAACTTTTGCTTTAGCAGCTGTTTGAGTTACTTCCGTGTTTGGGTTACAGCCTGTCGCTGATTGGTTTACTGTATGATGACGTATATCGATCCGTTCCGCTATCTGTTATACATTATATGATCTGTTCCGTACAACCATTAAAATAAAAAAAGCACAAAAACCAAACATAAACCACAAACAACCTAAAGATGCGTTTTGACACTTTTATTTACTCCTAAAGTGTTCTTATCTGATTATTTAGTTATTACACACTATTACTATACATAACATACACCATGTTCAGTGAATCTGTTGGAACTAATGTTGCACTGAAACTGTAATGTAATTATTAGCATAATTCCTATATCGGATTCAGTATTCAGTCAGGTCTATGGTTACTATAGAAAAGCAATGTTTGCATCAGGCCAGTAATATATAGGGATCTTGTCCTGAGCTGCAGTCCCTCCTGCCTCTGGCTGTATATTAGGACACAGCAACCAGTTCATCAGCTCTCCTCCTCAGAACCTACAAAGGATCAGAGAAAACACTAAAACCATTTATAAAGGACTGTGTTGGAAATGTCAGAGGGATCAGCAGTTTGCTCACCTGTTTCATTTCCACGGTGACAGCTGATCATGAAAGAGGACATAAAATTATGTGGTGCACATGAAATATTCAGCACATGATCAAAGCTTCATTTAGTCTTTATGTGTTTTTTGGACCAACCTGCCCAATATGATGAAGGTAACACCAAGGGCCCATCCACAGACACACCGTGGAGCAGCTCAGCCAGCCAGGACATCTCAACTGGGTTGTCAACAAAAACCTCCTCTCCTTCATCCACACATAATTCAAGCTCTGCCATAGCAAAGACGAACACAGGGATGCTAAGTATGGCTTCTTTATTTCCAAACAAAAATACCACAAGTACAAATAGAGCAGCTAATAAAGCTACAGTATGTGTACAGGTGCAGCTCAATAAATTAGAATATCATGGAAAAGTCCATTTATTTCCGTAATTCAACTCAAATAGTGAAACTCGTGTATTATATAAATTCAGTACACACAGACTGAAGTAGTTTAAGCCATTGAGTCTTTTAATTGTGATGATTTTGGCTCACATTTAACAAAAACCCACCAATTCACTATCTCAATAAATTAGAATACCTCATAAGACCTATAAAAAACATTTTTAGTGAATTGTTGGCCTTCTGGAAAGTATGTTCTTTTACTGTATATGTACTCAATACTTGG